TAAGACTACTCATCTTCACATTAAACAGATTAAATTTCTTCAATAATATTGTGATAAATGGGGTATGGAAGTTAATGTAGATAAAACCAAAATAATTGTTTTTAAAAATGGTGGGCCTTTGTCCCATATGTGAAAAATGGTCATTAAATGATAACCAGTTGAACACTGTAAGTAGTTAAAAGTATTTAGGATTGATGGTCACCCTTTGGTAAATTGAAATGGACAAAAGCTTGTAAAATACTTTCAGAACAGGAAAACAAAGCCCAATTTATAGTAAAATCTGAAATATGAATATCCTTCAATAATGCATTTGAAAAAATTGACGGAAATATAAACCCCTTTTTAATGTATGGTAATGAACTTTGGGTGTTTGCTTATTGAGATAATATTGAATGTAGCCATAGGAAAGTTTGTAAAATTTTGTTTGGAGTAGGATATAGATTTGTAAATGCAGTTGCATATGGTTAATGTAGAAGACTCCCACTGAGTACTATCTATTATCTTAGAGGTATTAAATATTGGATACAGCTAATTATGATGGATAATGATAGATATCCTTTTCAATGTTATCTGATGTTAAGAAAAACTTGTGATAGACACAACCCAAATTGGGCCACCCAGGTGAAAAATTGACTTTATAGATATGGTTTTGGGTATGCCTGGACAGCACAAGGTGTTGGTAACACAGATTCATTTATCCAATTATTTAAGCAAAGAATTAGAGATTGCAACGTCCAAGATTGGCACTCTTCAATGATAACTAACCCCAGTTTGGTATTTTATTCATGTATTAAGCCATCCTTTCAACTTGACAAATGTATAGTAAATATTAACATTTCCAAGTGTAGTATTGCTCTGCTAAAATTTAGGGTCGGTTATAATTTATTGAGCAATCAGAAGTACAGAAGAACCTGGTCTGTTGATGTAGAGAATAAGTTTGTGTGCCCAGAATGTAATGTACTTGAAGATGAAGCGGACATAATTTTCAATTGTCCTCTGTACTCACAGATAAGAAGTAAATATTTTTCAGCATATGAGCATCTTAACACTTTGTTAGTCATGACATAGTAAGCATGTTAAACTCTTATAATGATGAGATGTTCTTTGATATAGCAAAGTACCTTTTTTACATGTTCTGTTTAAGAAAAGAATTGTAGTTTATGATTACAACACATATTGATGTATTGAATGTTAAAAGTGGGGATTACTTATGCAGTCACACCTTATACATGCTGTAAGTTTGTTAGTCACATGACTTTGTCTGTAATATGGGTCTTATGACCTTACACCTCAATAAATCCTTCAATCCTTGAATACTGTCAATTAACTTTAATATACTAATTGTAGTACTTCTCGTGTATAAATCATCTTGCAGTGCAAATATTGTTTTGCATGTTTCAATGTACATACTTAATGAATGAGGAATACTGTGTGCTGTGCTCACTAAAGGTCATGCTTTAATGGGAAATGAGTCACTTGTTATTTTGAACTTAGCAATTTCTGCATTCGCTTTAAAATCTTTGAAATAACAAAGACAGCTAAAAATTGAGTTCATTACATCTGCAAATATGAAGTACTATTGTGGAGTGTGAACTTTGGCAGACAATAATTTCAGGTCATGTTGGAAGGGATATTTATATGCTTACTAACCTTATAGTGCAGGCAGGCAGCTTGGATTGTATGTTCCCCGGGGAGTTGAAAATAAATATGAGTGCACAGTGATCCATGTGGTTTAACATAAAACTGACAAAGGTGGAACCACATGGTGAATTCATTCATAATACTTTTGTCAAGAAATCAGTGATTCCTGCAATTTGGCTGTCATCACACTAAAAAATCTTGAGACCTTCTCTTCATTGCCAGTCGTTCTTCGCCAGTGGTAAGGGAAACCATATCCCATGCTAATGCCTCTGCGCACAACACCTGAAAACATTTCAGAGCAATCTATGCTTCTCAATATTATGGGACACCTTCTAGACCATGGGGGAGCTTGTGTGAGAAAAACAACCACCTTCAGCTATGGTTACACAACAACCTTTCGTAGGGTGAATGCTCGGAAGTCATGGCTTCAACTGGGGTTCACATACTTGCCGGGACAACAGCAGTCAGGCAGGTTACGGTGGCTAATTTCAGTTTGTTGGTAGTAAACAACATGTCACAAGCAGGGAGGCTTCTGGACATGATTCAGACAATACATTGTATGCCAGTAGGGAGGAGAAGTCGGAGCCTGAAGTCTGCCACCTCCTACCAGACTTTCGACTGCCTGCTACAATGAAGTAGTCACCCCACCCCTTTTTGCTACAGAAACCCCTCTCAAATATATTAAGCCTTATCACAAAAAACGTGTGTATGAATACATAGATACATATCGATTCATAGAAAATGGCTGCCAATGGATCACCCCCATATGAACTGTAAAAGATATCTATATTTCCTCTAAAACACGCTGGGTCTCTTATACCAGCCAGGTCCTTAATACACGCCGAGTCAAGGGCTCTCGCGAAATTAACAGACGGCGTAGCGTCAAATAGAGGAAATACGGTAGTTTGATATCGGATGTTTGGGGCGTTCAGGCCGCAACCCTGACTGATTCGATGATGACATTAAAAGATTTAACGAAGGCATATCTTTTGCATACAAATGTAATGTTTATGAAACTGTTATAGAAATGTTCTATGGTGACCAGAATCGGAACAATTTAAGCTATTTCCTCACCAAAACAACCGACAATGAAAGTAAAATATAACATCATAAAAATTGTTTGAAAAAACTTTATTCATGACGACATGTTGTTTACAAACCTTTTTCTGAATGATATTCGTTGCCATCTCCGTCAACCACCACCGTTAGAATTTGGCAGGAGGGGATTTCAAAGTCCATCAGAAAACACTCCCCTTCGAAAGTCCACGAAAACAATGTTCCAACTGAAGTGATAGCTTATCAAACTTGATGAAATTCATTGCAGAACACGCACAATTAAGACAATCATACACGATCCACTATTTCTGGGACACAAATGTCTAAGTTGTGTCACTCTTTGGCTTTGGATCCGTGAAATCTTGAAATTAATTGGTCGCACCATGCAGATTCCTCGTTTCAAAATATCCGGCTCGTCTGCAGCCTAAAAAGCGGCTGTTCAGTCACATTGGTAATCATATGGATGTACCAGCAGGCTCGATCAATCCCAGATAATCTACCTGTTAATGTTGAACCACATCATAGATCGGGGTTGTCATCTTGCTTCATTCTATAACTCGTTACGGAGAATGTAAACACAGATTGTCAGCCATTGACAGCTGTGAGGTGTGAGTAACCGAGATGTAGGTCAAGTTCTGCCACATCCAAGTTCGGGGTGGAGAGGCATTTATTTTGATTTTATTATTGTTTACTGGGGGTAATTGCTAACTAACTAATAACACTTACACATGTTAAATGTATAATAGAATGTTAATTCATAAAGTTTGCTGTAGAAATATATTCGTTCAGCATTTTGAAACCTTTTTTCTATTACCCGTCACCCGTACAATAGAAATGATGGCATGTTCGATTTCCAAGAAATGACCTCTCTCACAAAATTCTGAGAAATGACAGTCAGTCCACAGTGTACAACAGTGTACAACAGTTTGGTAGAAATTAAAACATCTCTCTTTGGACTAAGTTTGGTGTGTAATTTGTCAACTTCTTTTGAAAAACTATGTGTTTTGAACACTTATTATGAACTACTCACAACTATGGTGTTTTTAATCTTGAACTTTAGTAATAATTGTTATATATATAACTACCTGTGACCACTTTTCAGAATGTTCTAAGATTGCGGACCTGTGCACCTGTGTTATTACGCGTTGCAAGAGAGCGCCGTTTTCAAAGCGTTGTTGCCGTCATTGTAGAACGGAGATTCTAAAGCGCTCGGTTCAAAATTATAATAAAGAGGTACCGGTATCTATTCTACAGTGGGACTACATCAAATTTCAAAACACAGATGTGTCTGATTTACAATTAAATGTTACCATTTTGGTTAAATATTGCTTCACAAAGGAAATAAACAATATGCACTGCCCCATGTGATCATTAAAATCTCAGGAATGTCCGTGTAAAAGAACAAATCCCTTGTTAATTGTTTTGGATCCAAATGACAGAATGGGTTTTCTGACTAGACTGACTTTTGATCAGTATACCCCATTTACCAAGTATGAACTGTTACATTGGATTCAGGAAGGCCTCACAGGTTATACGTGTTTCCCCTCAAGCAAAACCTTTTTTCACTTGATTGTTGAATTAATATAATTTAAATCAAATTATTTTTTAGTAATTATCAAAATGAAGATGTTGTTAGGTTGCTTAAATAAGATATGCAATAATTGCTGTAGTGTATAGTCCAATCTTGATATTCATACCCTACTGAATGTTTTAGTTTTGGCTTAAAAAATAAAAGAATACGTTCTCAGACAATGGCTTTTGAAAATATTGTGGGAGCGGGTGGTGTTTATTGTTGTTCAAACTAGGGAAATAATGTGTCAACAGCTGATTGCTATTTCCGACTTATTTTACAAGGCAAATACATATGTAATCTTAATCTCTGCTTATGAAAAATTGTCCGGCATACAGCACACAAATACTATTGACTTAATGATGATGCGAGCGGTGCCTGAGAACCAAGACTATTATTTATTTTTAGCCTTAGACCCCTAGTTTTGATAGTGAAGAAATATTTGATTAAAGTCAAAACGGCTGCAGTGTTTATGCAATCTTATTAGGTGAACCTTTGTAACCTGTGGTGTTCACAGTAAGTGTACATTATGAGATGGCTAATATTTTTAAAGAACTATTTTGGTATGATTTTCATTTGTTAGTGTGTAAAGACGAGACATATGTTTGACTAGAATCCAATAGCTATTCTCACAGGCCTAGCTGCACAAAAGAAACAACATGGAAACAAAAAACAATAATACATAATAATACATATGACAATAGTTTGATTGGTATTTATTATGTATTTTCAGGAAATTTGACTCCCCGACATAAAGAGGTATTCTTACGTAATCCTCTATTTGTTGGCATGAGACTACCAGAAGTTCGAGAAGTAACCCCTCTAGAAAAAAAGTTTAACAGGATTTCCTCACTGTCATTAGACCTGCTGAAGGTAAGTAGTTTTGACTTGTATCCTGTATGAATACAACACTGTTAAACACATGGCAAAGGAGGTATTCAAGGAGTAATATCTTAACTTTGAGACTGCTGAATTCATTTGAAAAATGTCGTGTAGCCAATATTTTTGGTATTTCTTAAATGGCAGATACTTCTGAAAACACCTACATATTTTATGGTATGGTCCATCCATTTACACTGAAATGTTGTTAAGGTGCATAGCAACACAATGTGACACTGATTTGTTCATACAAGACATATTAAGACATTAAGACATGTAAAATAAAATTGATAATGTTAGCTACCTCAATTAAGCAGGCCCATGTAAATGGACCTATCAGAAACATATCATACTTATCTACCTTTATGACCCTGTGAATTTTTTGGGGCACACTGATATGTCATGTCAAGGGTCATGGTCTTCCTCAATGTTGTAACCTTATTGAATAAACAAATTTAAATGTGTTTGCGCCTCAACTCATGAAGGTTGTATTTGTAAGTCAATGAAACTTGGTTATTGTCTTTCTAAGGAGGAGATTGAAAAAGGTTGTGTATAAGGCCCAGGTCATAGTGAATGTCATTTCTGAAATATGTTGTGTCAGCAGAGGAATGGATTCTGGTAGTTGAAGGCGACAGAGTCGGCAATGGTGGTCCTTAGTCCAACACACCACTTCGACCCTAACTTTGCCTAGGCGGACGGTAAAATGGGCCCGATTCTATCAATCGGCTGGTCATGTCATGCCCTGTGCATACAATATTTCGCACAAACTTTTGATACCTAAAAATAAATTTATTCTTAATGTCTATTGTAAATGTATATGAATCTATAAACTTGCTTAGAGCCCAATGCCCAGAAGGCAGTGGCTCATGGGCCAATCTGGTGATGCTGCCCTCCGAATTCCAATTAATTGTCATGGGCCGAACCAGCCTGACCCTTAATTTGGTAGATAGCTATAGCTTTTCATGTCAAATTTGCTGGAGTATAACAACCCTTTATCCTCGGTCTTTGCAGATTGGAAATCGGCTGCAGTATAAGACTGTCCTTGTAGACACTCCATGGTGGGTGAGGAAAAGGGGTGCTGAATCATTTTCCTTTCGACATGGCTTCCCAACACCCTGATTCAAAACGTAGATACATTAAATCTGACAATTCACCTGACAAATACCACCAACCTATTGACTATTGACTATTGGCCAAGTTTTTTGATTATCGAAGCTTGTGACAAAGAACCCATCAAACTAAATCCGTTTGCAATTTCCAAAGGTATCGCTGGTACCTGCGGTGAGGTTACAAATGTCACCAAACTTCGATCCGGTTCTCTCCTTGTGGAATGGGCACGGAGACAGCAATCCATCAATCTTCTCAGTTATATCTAAAACACACAGATCTATTTGATATCCATCAGTACAGTTCTTACAACTCGTTTTCCCCTCCTGGTGATAAAGCTCCAGGAGGTTCTTCTATCCTGGTGAAGCAGAGCATAATCCATAGCCCTGTTCCACTCAACACTACTCTACAAGCTGTTGCTGTCCGTGTTACTTTGAACATAGTGTCCATGATGACCTTTGTGGTAGTGACCATTTTCCAACAATACTTACAACTATTAATCCGTCTGACAAACCACCTTCAACAAGGTGGAACTTTACAAAGGCCGATTGGTCTTTATTCCAAACACTATGTTCTGAAAAACTAAAACCTGACAGTTTCAGAAATGTTCCTGATCCTATACATTATTTTCCAGATATATTAAATGGTATTGGAGACGAAAGCATTCCTAAGTCCTCTGCAAACTCTCATATACGTAAACCATGTTTTGATAATAATCGCAAACAAGCTAGGAAAAATAGAAAGAAAGCCGAGAAATATTTCTGACGACATCCAACTGTCCACAACTTGAATAATGTTAAAAAAAAGGGCGCTAAAGCAAGACGTACCTTTAAACAGAATAAACATCAATCCTGGAGGAACTATGTATCCAAAATCAATTCCTGCACACCCATGTCCAAGGTGTGGAACATGATTCAAAAGAATAACGGCAAAGGATCAAAATCTGGAGTTCCCCATCTCAAAGATGGTAATACGAGGGGTGTTCATTAAAGATTTCCCCTAAACCACTTAGGGGTATCATATTTGGTTGAAATTTCACACGTGTAATGATACATGTATCTATGGGTTATGTCTGAATTTGCAGCACCGAACTATTAATCTTACCACTTTTACAGGTGTTATGATCGAGTAGGGTGTGACAATGAAGCCAGCAGAATACCGAGCAGTGATTAGGTTTTTATATTTGAAAGGTCACACACCAAAAGAAACTTTCAATGAAATGAAAGCAGCTTATGGGGAAGATGCCCCATCATATGACGTTGTTAAACACTGGCATCGCCGGTTCAAGTGTGTTCGGACATCTGTGGAAACAGCTGCCATTCCTGGTCGCCCCCATTCAGCCATTGATGAGGACACTATCCATCAAGTGGAGACCGCCATTTTGGCAGACCGACGTATAACTGTTCGCCAGTTAGCACAAGATGTCAAGATCAGTGTGGGGTCTGTGGAAAAAATCATCCATGACAATTTGAACATGCATAAGGTGTCTGCACGATGGATTCCCAGGTTGCTCACACCTTTCCAAAAGCAGGAACAAGTCAGTTGCTCAAAGGATCTTTTGGACATGTGCCAAAAAAACCAGGCAAACTTTTTTGACAGACTTATCACACAGGATGAAACATGGGTCCTTCACTATGATCCTGAGACTAAAGTTCAGTCGATGCAATGGAAGCATGTGGAGTCACCACCCCCAAAGAAGGCACGTGTCCAACCCTCTGCAGGCAAGGTCATGCTCACGGTGTTTTGGGACCAGCATGGAGTAGTGATGATGGATTTCTTGGCAAAGGGTATCACAATTACAGGAGCTTATTATGCTTCACTGCTGCGGAAATTGCGGGACGCTATCTAGCTTAAGAGGCGTGGCATGCTGACCAAGGGTGTCCGTCTCCTGCAAGACAATGCTCCAGTACACAACTCTCATGTTGCCCAGACAGAAGCGCGGTCCTGTGGCAATGAAATCCTTCCACATCCTCCTTACTCTCCTGACCTTGCACCATCTGACTTCCACCTCTTTCCAACCATGAAGTCATTTTTGAAGGGAAAACGTTTCACAGATGAGGAAACACTGATTTCTGAAGTCAAGTCCTGGTTTGAGACGCTAAATGAGGGCTTTTACAAGCGAGGTCTCCATAGTTGCATAAAACGATGGGAGAAGTGTGTAACTCTTGGTGGTTCCTATGTGGAGAAAGACTAATACCTATACCAAGTTTCATTCCACTAGGTCCATCGGAAGTGGGTCAGGGGAAATCTTTAATGAACACCCCTCGTACACTTTTAACCACTAAATCTGAAATAGCCAACAAACTTGGTGACACTTTGGCAAATCATTCCTCATCATCAAACTATAATCCTCAATTCCGGAGGTTTCAAAAACAGCAGGAAAAAAAACCCAGTAAATTTTAACTCTGATAATGGTGAGGACTATAATGAAACATTTTCATTCCATGAATTATTTACTGCCCTAGGGCAGTCTCATGACACTGCAACATCCACTATCAGCTCCTGAAACACTTGCCTGATTCACGTTTAGAAATGTTACTGAATATATTTGATGAAATATGTACAACCGGAAATTTCCCTCCTTCATGGCACAATGCTATATTATTCCTAGTCCAAAGCCTGGACGGGATCACACAGATCCATCCAACTACCGTCCAATATCATTAACAAGCTGTGTCAGTAAAACCATGGAGCTCATGGTCAACAATCGATTAGTCTGCTACCTGGAGACCAATAACCTCCTGAGTGACAAGTCACATCCAGTGTGGTTTCCGAAAAAACAGAAGTACCATTGACTATTTGGTGCGTTTAGAATCGTTTATTAATAAATTCCACATACTGTATCAATCTTTTTTAACCCCCGCCCAACAAAGTTGCCGGGGGATATAGAAACGGGCTCCGTCCGTACGTCCGTCACGTTTCGTTTCCGGAGCATAACTCTTAAACCGTTAAATATATTTTCATCAAATTTTGCAGGTCTGTCAGGTTCATGCTGAACTGGTGCCTTTTGCTATTCAGAAATTTACGAAATGTTTATTTTTTACGTTTCCTTGGCAACAAGATGGACTTAGGTTCTGTGAGGGTAGGGTTTGTTTCCGGAGCATAACTCATAAACCGTTCAATATTTTTTCATCAAACTTTGCAGGTCTGTCAGGTACATGCTGAACTGGTGCCTTTTGCTGTTTAGAAATTTTAGAATTTTTTTTTATTCACGTTTTCATGGCAACAAGATGGACTTAGGTTCTGTGAGGGTGGGGTTTGTTTCTGGAGCATAACTCATAAACCGTTCAATATTTTTTCATCAAACTTTGCAGGTCTGTCAGGTACATGCTGAACTGGTGCCTTTTGCTGTTTAGAAATGTTTATTATTTACGTTTCCATGGCAACAAGATGGACTTAGGTTCTGTAAAGGGTAGGGTTTGTTTCCGGAGCATAACTCATAAACCGTTCAATAATTTTTCATCAAACTTTGCAGGTCTGTCAGGTACATGCTGAACTGGTGCCTTTTGCTATTTAGAAATTTTAGAAATTTATATTTTTCACGTTTCCATGGCAACGAGGATGACTTAGGTTCTGTGAGGGTAGGGTTTGTTTCTGGAGCATAACTCATAAACCGTTCAGTATTTTTTCATCAAACTTTGCAGGTCTGTCAGGTACATGCTGAACTGGTGCCTTTTGCTATTTAGAAATTTACGAAATTTTTATTTTTTATGTTTCCATGGCAACAAGATGGACTTAGGTTCAGTGAGGGTAGGGTTTTCTTCCAGAGCATAACTTATAAACCGTTCAATATTTTTTCATGAAACTGTGCAGGTCTGTCAGGTACATGCTGATCTGGTGCCTATTGCTATTTAGAAATTTTTATTATTTACGTTTTCAATGGCAAC